TGTTAGCATCTATGGTGATTTATTCCCCAATTCCCTAAATGACAAATCCTCATGGGATTCTCACAATCAATTAATTAATTAAATCCTTAGTAAGAGTGATGTTGTTTAATTTAAAATTTTAAGATTAACTTATTACAACTTGTAGTGTTTATTTTCAAATCACCTTTGTTCTATATGTGGTTGTGCACGTGAGTGACGGTCAAAGTCTAACTTTTACATGCACAAAGTACAAACCCAATTAGTATTTTAATGTTAATCCAAATATGTCATTTTCATGGTATTCTAACTTTTTTAGATAGTTCTTTTTCTCTAATAAATTATCAATGCTTTTCGGTTTTCAAATATTAGTCGTTTTGACATATATTCTAAATTTGTTTCAAATATTTCACTATATTTTTAAAAATAATATTTTTTTTCTAATATATTCATATTTTTCAGTTAAAGGAATGTTGATTAAATGAGTGTTATGGCGAGCAAAATTGATGGGGTAAAAAATGCGATTTTACACAAATAACCAGCCAAATTTATTGTTTACTCTTTCTTGAAATGTACATAGATGGTAGGTAGGGGTGTTCAGGGTTCGGTTTGGATCGGTTTTACCCTAAAAAGGAACCAAACCAAGTAAGTCGGTTTTTCAAATATTCGAACCAAACCAAACCAAACCAATTAAGTCGGTTTATTCTCGATTCGGTTTATGTCGGATTTTATCGGTATTTCGTCTTTTCGGTTATTTGTCGATTTTTTCTTAAATATAAGACATACACTACCAAAAAAATATTCCGGCGACCACATTTTCAACGTAACACTATCAAATCAATTGCACTTTGAGAAATCTATTATTTACTAAAATATATTGATGATAATTGTACTCTAATTTTACACGGTTATACATATATTATATATTCGCCGGATATTTTTAGTTTAAACGATTAGATAAACAGCTTTTAGGTTAATTTTTATAAAAGCAAATTATACATGTTGGACCATACATAGAAGCTAAACTCCTCAATTTTACTCACTTGATATGGCCCAACATATATATGCCCATATATCATGTTAATAGTTAAGGGGAAAAAAAGCATAAAAATGACACTCTTGTCTTTTTTTTTTTCTTTTTTTGAAGAAACGAACACGATTGAGTGTCTGTCAAATGTGTGAGTCATTGGCCTGATTCCCACTAGGAGGTAACTTAACTATTCAATAAAGAACATAATTTCTCACTAGTTTTCTTGAGCAAATAATGTCTTGCTTTTTTTGGGAATTTTAAGTAAAACGAAAATGGGAATCACGTATTTTTGTTAGTGGCCGGTTAATTGTCGGTGGAATAAAAGGTGGGTCTTTCTCCTTTTTTTCCTTTTTCATTTTGAATAATAACAAATTTGAATATTAGCTGAATTTGTGGGTCTAAGTGCATGTAGACAATAGTACGTGTAGCACACTTTCTTTTACGCACTTTTGTTAGGAGTATATTTTTGCATTTCCTCTGAATCTTTTATACAAAGAACGTCGAGCTCTGAAGCTTAGGTTTCAAGTTCGAGCTCTGAGTATGAAGTTGTCTTTATTAGGAAGTGTTTTACGCGGTACTTCTCGATGCGAAGCCGAATTTAGTCGGGTTCCAATATGAATATCAGACATCGGGCGAGAAAACCGAAAAAAAAAATTTATATTCCCTACTCCATGAAAGTTGGTGATAATGTGAGGATTTCTGCCGCAGAGAAAAATAGGAGATGTAGAGAAAGAATATGAGCAAAATTTAGCTTTTTGTCGAAAGGACGAAAATACCCTTATCAGTAATGAAGCAACAATTAAAAACTAGGGGATATTTTAGTAAAGTCAAAAACGAGTACAATGCTAACCTAGGACCTGAAGGTAGTAGGTTAGCATAACCCATATTTATTTATTTCAGAAAAGTTCAAAAAACTATTAAGTTTCGGGACAGTTGCAAACTCATGGTTGGATTCATCACTGACATCAGAAGCCGAGTTAGTACTCAAGTTTATGACCAATCTCAACTTATGGTCAAAATAGTACGTATAGCTAGTTTTCGGACTGGTCACTAAAAAATAGCCAATGTTACCAAATCAATGAAAAAAGTCACTATTTTGCTGCAACAGATACCGGTCCAGTATAATATACTGGAGTTCGGTGCACCTGTGTATGAACTCCAGCATATTATGCTGGACCGGTATACTTTGCTGGCTCCAATATAATATACTGGAGACTGGAGCACCGGTGCTCTAAACTCCAGTATATTATGCTGGACCGGTATACTTGCTGAACTCCGGTATATTATCCTGGAGTTCTAGTGTACTTATGCTGGAACTCCATCATATTATGGTGGAGTTCCAGCATACTTATCCTGGAACTCTAGTATAATATGCTGGAGTTCAAGTATACTTATACTGGAACTCCAGCATAATATACTGGCGTATTTTCCGGGTTTTGAACAGTGTTTTCGCTCAGATTTAATCTTTACATGAAAAGTGACTAAATTTCGATTACTTTTGAAACTGAGCTATTTTTGAACGACCAGTTGTAAATCTGGCTATTTTTGAATTTCACCCAACTTATGCTCTTTTTGTGACATTTAGACTAGATGTTTTCGTTTTAGGAAATGAGATATGATTTGGGTAGACATAATTTGGATGGGATAACATAAAGAACTGAGGTTTTCCACCTAGAAATTTAAGATTATGGTAAAATAATCTGAAAATTTTCCCTAATGGTTTATGGTCCCACTTCGAGAGCCTTCTAGAAAGTCTAGGATTTATACTGTATTTAATATTTAACGACGTTTTCTAAAGTTTAATTGTCCTTATTGACTTTTTAATTCGTTCTCAAATTCAAAGTTCAAACAAAGTTATCCATTTATTTTGTTTACGTTTGCAGAATATTGGGATTATCTCGACAGATAATTGTGAAAATGATATAAATATTTATGGGCCGATGTGACACATCCTGGCCCACAGTAGTAGAGACCAGTGTTCTCAATCTTGGGCTGGGCTAATAGAAAATTGGATCCAAAAGATGCACACAGGCTCGCATTTGCATCTATACCCGCTTTTTGGGTTACATTTTAACTTGTGCCCGCTTTGCAAAAAAAAAAAAAAAAGAAAAAATGCAAGCGTACCCACTTTTTCGCGTAACTTCAGCATACAGGGCTGAAGTAGCAAAGACAATCACGCAAAACTTCAGCATTCTAGTAGACGTGCCTGAAGTAGCAAGTGTGCTGAACAAAGTGTGCTGAAGTTTTTGTTTGATATTGCTGAACTTAAGCATAGTAACTTAAGTTTTGTTCTCTATTTGCTGAAGTTTTTGTTTGTAATTGCTGAACTTAAGCATAGTAGCTGAAGTTTTGTTCTCTATTTGCTGAAGTTTTTGTTTGTAATTGCTGAACTTAAGCATAGTAGCTGAAGTTTTGTTCTCTATTTGCTGAAGTTTTTTTTTTTAATTGCACTAAATAAGCTGAAGTTTTGTTGTCCAGGATTCATTAGTTTTGTCATTAAGTTTTTTCAAAAACTTGAAGATGTTGAAGTTATTTAGTTCATTTATAAAAACTTCAGCACTAAATAAGCTGGAGTTTTTTTGTCCTGGATAAGCTTTTTCAAAAACTTCAGCAGAAGATGCTAAAGTTATTTAGTTCATTTGTAAAAACTTCAACACTAAATAAGCTGAAGCTTTTTTTGTCCTGGATTCATTAGTTTTGTCATAAAACTTGTTCAAAAACTTCAGCAGAAGATGCTGAAGTTATTTAGTTCATTTGTAAAAACTTCAGCACTAAATAAGCTGAAGTTTTTTGTTGTCCTGGATTCATTAGTTTTGTTATAATCAGACTACTATAAAATAATCACATTGCCAACAGTATCTAAATCATAAAATTTTTGGAAACAAATAAACGTGAAAAGAACAGAATTATCATGAAAAGAATCCCTAAGTGTGCCCTTAAAACTTCCCGTACGTGGGAATATTCACAAATTATTGTCTATTAACTTACGTAATTATTTATAATTTATTTTTAAATAATCTGATAAACATACTTATGACAATCATCCCATGAATTAAAGTTTCATAGCAGAAGCAGAAGAAGAAGAAGAAGAAGAAGAAGAAGAAGAAGAAGAAGAAGAAGAAGAAGAAGAAGGAGAAGGAGGAGAAAGGGGGCTGAAGTTGTTTAAAAAGTGGGTACAAGTTAAAACTTTTTAAAAAAATGGGTATACGTTAAATGGGGCGACCAAATAGGGCGCCCCGTGCAATTTTTACAACAACTTCTCTGTGCTAAGCTCCTAAGTTTTCAACATCTTCTGTAGGATTAGTTACCTCCTATAGCAAAGGTTGATACTTATTTATTTTAAATAAATACCCTTTTTTTATATATAGAAATTTTTTTCTCTCTCTTCCCTTTCTCTCTCGGCGCATTTTAGCGTGCTCTGCTAAAGTGCACTCACCGGAATGGGGAGAGCACGAGGACGACCATCCAAAGCTTCGAAACAGATAGCTGAGGAAGACAATGGATCTATGGAAGGAAGAAACTCAGGAATTGTGTGAATAGGTCACCAAAAGCTATAGTGACTGGGGGTAATGGTACTGTTCCATTGCTCAAAGCTGGGACAAAGGATGATAACACTACTGAAGAGAGGAAATTGGTTGAGGAATCATCAATCAACAAAGGAAAAGCACATGCAACAACAGATCTGGCAATATGGCCAGCTTTACTAAGTCAAAGTGAAGGCAGCAAAGTACAAGAGGGGAAATGGACAACTCCGGTCATCATTGAACAAAATTTAAATTCAAAAGGAATGGTCCAAAAGCAGATTCAAGTCACAGAACAGGAAGTGGTGCAGAGACAATATGGAAGAACCAATGGATCAGGAATTCAGAACGTATGAGCTCAAAGGAAATTGCAGCTAGACACAAAACAAAAAACAGGAAGGACTTGGTCGATGCTATTTGAGGAGAACAAATTGGCCAAAAGAGGTATGGATTTGAGTTATGTACCACCTACAATGGTTGCGGATGAAATAATTGTTGAATTGATTCATGAGAATATTGATAGTGAAGTATCCAAATGGAAATATGTGGTTATTGTGTATGTTATTGGTGGATCACTAACGATTGGGGCTATGGAAAGGTTTATAGTTGGGCAGGGGAGTTTTTATGTTAAATCTAAGGTATATTACCATAATGACGGGTATTTTATGGTGAATTTTGCAAGTCTAGAGGAAAGGAATATGGTGATGTACTCTGGGCCTCACATGCTTAACAACAGACCTGTAGTAGTTAAGCAGTGGACTGTTGATTTTGGTTTTGATGAAGAAGACTTGAAGACTATACCAATATGCGTGAATTTGCCAAATCTACCTTTGAGCTGCTGGAGTGCAAGTGCACTAAGCAAAATTGGGAGTGGTCTAGGCCAGCCCATATATGCTGATGCTTGCACTTCAAACACTGAAAGAATTTCGTATGCAAGAATTTTGGTGGAGGTAGATGTCACTAAGGAGCTACCAAAGAGTATTAAAGTGAAGGATCCTAAGGGGAGAGTTATGGTGCAAGAAGTGTGGTATGAATGGAAGCCAAGCTATTGTGCAAAATGTATGCAGATAGGACATAACTGTCAACAGCAGCAACAGAACAAAGCAGTAATGGACAAGAAGACAGGGCAACAACAGCAAAGAGCATCTACAAAACAAAGGACTGAATATAAGCCAATTAACACAGGATCAACAATCCAAAGCCAACACCAGTAAGTAGTGGAGGTAAGAGTAAATGAGCAGCAAAAAGAAAGTGACAAGATAGGAGCAACTGATGAACAATGGCAACAAGTTAAAAGCAAGTCAGCAACTAAAGGGCAAAAAGTACCTGAGCATCAAGTACAAGTATTGAATGGTTTCAACAGTTTAAGAGAGACAAGCCAGTATCAAAATATGAAGAGAAATGAAGAATGCAGTACAAGTAGAGGAGTGGAGGTAGTGGTGGTACACAAAAATAATACAATAGCTTAATGTTAGTAACATGGAATGTCAGGGGTTTTAATATAGTGTTCAAGCACAAGGAGTTAAAGGAGTTTGTGAAGACAAATAAAGTAGATATTATAGCAATATATGAGCATAGTAAGTGAAACAAAAGCCGTAAGATCATTACAAATACATTACCTGGATGGAAATGGTGCCATAATGTATCAAATGCATGCAAAGGAAGAGTTTGGTTGATTTGGAATCCAAATGTACTGCAGTTTGCAATGATAGGAAGCTATGCACAGCTGATACATGGGGTTGTAAAGAGTATTGTAAGTAAGAATGGGTTTCAATTTTTTGCAGTACGTGGATTAAATAATGTACATGATAGGAAAGCATTATGGGATATAGTAAGGAATATAGAGAAACAAGCCAGGGAGCCATGGTTACTAATGGGAGACTTCAATTCAATTCCGGGAGCTGAAGATAGAATGCAAGGCAGAGATGTGCAGCATAGTGAAACAAATGATTTCAGAGAAGTAGTTGAGGAATGTAATTTGGCAGAATTACCTACAATAGGCAGGTCATATATATGGACAAATAGCCATGTATTCAGTAGAATTGATAGAGCATTTGTAAATGATAAATGGATGCTCAACATGCCTCATAGACAAGTACATGTCATGAATCCTCTTTTCTCAGACCATTCCCCCTTGGGTATTAAAATAAATGTGAAATGTGATACTAAGAGAAGGCCTTTCAAGTTTTATAATTATATGGCTGATCATCCTGAGTTTGGGCAGATTGTGGAAAATAACTGGAAATAGAAAGCAGGTACAATGGAAGATATATGGTAGAATTTGAAGTGTGTAAAGGTAGCTCTGAAGCAGTTAAACAGCAAAGAGTTCATGAATGTAAAGCAGAAAATAAACAGTATAAAAGAAGGCCTGCAAGAAGTACAAGGAAGAATGAGAGATCATAATGCACCATCAAGGCTATTTGAAGAAGAGAAAGAGATGATATATCAAATGGAGAAATGGGATAAAATTGAGGAGTCAATCTACAAACAGAAGTCAAGAGTACAATGGCTACAACTGGGGGATACCAATAATGCTTACTTCTTTGCAAGCATGAAAGGAAGGAAAGCTCACAATCAAATCACAAGGCTCATTGATAGTAAGGGTAACACCTTAACAGACTATAAAGAGATTGAAGCTGAAGTGGTTGAGTTCTACAAAAACCTGTTAGGATCTACATGTGGAAGTATACCTGCCATACATCCTGGGAGGATAAGGAATGGACCAGTGTTAAGTAGGAAACAACAACTGGAACTCATAGCTCCTTTTATAAAGGAGGATGTACTTGAAGCTCTCAAGAGTATTGATGATATGAAGGCACCTAGGGGAGATGGTTTTAATGCTTGCTTTTTCAAGAGAACATGGAATATGAATGGAGATGAGATAGCGAAGGCAGTTTTGCAGTTCTTTAGCACTGGAAGAATGTTCAAACCAATAAATTGCACAAGTGTTACACTTATTCCCAAAGTGAAGAATCCAACTTCAATAAAAGAATATAGACCAATCTCTTGCTATACTACCCTATACAAAATCATATCCAAGATGCTGACAAGTAGGATGAGGATGGTCATGAACACACTAGTAGATGAAAGCCAGGTAGCATTTGTACCTGGTAGAGGCTTGATGGACAATATACTGCTAAGCCATGAACTGATAAAAGGTTATGGTAGGAAAGGAGTCTCACCTAGATGCATGATCAAGATAGACATGCAAAAGGCATATGACTCACTTGAATGGGTGTATTTGGAACAAGTGTTAGATAGACTGTGTTTTCCTAAAAAAATTGTAGGTTGGATTATGGAGTGCATTAAAACAGTGTCATATTCTATTAATATCAATGGCAGTCCTACTATTCCATTTGAAGCAAGAAGGGGAGTGAGACAGGGAGATCCTATGTCTCCATTGCTATTTGTCTTAGCAATGGAATACTTGACTAGAAGTTTGAAGAACTTAAAGGAGCAACCTAACTTCAACTACCACCCAAGGTGTGAAAAATTGAGTATTGTCCAACTCAGTTTTGCTGATGACTTATTACTTTTCTGCCGAGGAGATAGGGTGTCTGTGCAGTTACTATATGAGTGTTTCAATAGCTTTTCACAAGCTTCAGGCTTAGTGGCAAATGAGAACAAAAGCAACATATATTTTGGAGGTGTTCCATATGCAGTACAACAGGAGATTACTCAAATAACAGGGTTCAACACAAGTGAACTTCCTTTCCGATACTTAGGTGTCCCCTTGAGTACGAAAAGGTTATGAGTAAGCCAATGCCAACCATTGCTGGACAAAATGCTGGGGAGAATTAAACAGTGGGCAGTGAAGTTTCTGAGCTATGCAGGAAGATTACAATTGATCAAAAGTGTACTTATTGCTATACAGTCTTTCTGGTCACAAATTTTTCCTTTGCCAAAAAAGATCATTCAACTGGTTGAAGGCACTTGTAGGAAGTTCCTATGGACTGGTGATACTAGTTCGAGCACGAAGGCTTCATTGGCATGGGACAAGCTGTGCAGGCCTAAAACTAAAGGAGGATTAAATGTCACAGACCTCGGTACATGGAATAGGGCAGCTTTACTGAAACATCTATGGAGCTTGGGCAAAAAGAAGGATAAGCTATGGATCAAATGGGTGCATGCATACTATATAAAAGGAAGGGAACCATAGGAAGTTGATGCAAAACAAGCTTCTTGGATTGTAAGGAAGATACTGCAAGCTGGGAAATACTTGAATGAAGCAGGTTTGGACACTGGAAGGGTAATGCAAACTGATTCGTTTTCCATTAGAGGAATGTACAAGCAACTAAGAGGGGTATTTCTAAAGGTGAGCTGGAGTCAATTGCTATGCAATAACAGAAGTTGTCTAAAATGAAAATTTATTATGTATCCTGCAATGCAGGGGAGTTTATATACAAAAGATAGATTGATTAGATGGGGGATGCAAGTAAGCCCAGAATGTCCATTATGTGAGCATGAGATGGAAAGTCACAACCATATCTTCTTTACTTGTTCTTTCTCAAAAGATGTTTGGAGAAGAATAATAAATTGGATGGGTATCAGTCGAGAACTAGAAGGATGGGATGAGGAGATCAAATGGGCAATAGAACAGGTGAAAGACAACGGATCCAAAACCATGTTGTACAGGCTGAGTATGACCGGAGCAATGTATCACATATGGCTGGAAAGAAATAGAAGGATCTTTCAGAAGATTAAAAGAAGCAGTGAAGATATTACTACACAAATAGTTAGAGATATTCATTATATAGGCTATAGCCATAGTAGATTGAGGAATAGTTTACAAAAGCTCAACTATTATCCTTAGAGTAGTCAGTGAGGAAGAGATGTTACTAAGTTTGGGGCTGCATGTCCAAACTTAGGATGATATACTTGTATATATTTATGTGGAAATAAAGTTTAATTACCAAAAAAAAAACTTTAAAAAAATTATATTCCATAGTTACCTTTTGATTTTTTATAGCCAAATATCTATTTATGGTCACCTCCTAACCTTAAGCCATAAAATAAGTTTTGTATTATTTTTCTCTCTCATATCCCCTCAAATTCTCCTATCCCCTACCCCATATCTATTCTCCCTCCCTCTCTCTACTTCCCGATGTCTTCTCCTCTGCCGGATCAAGGCTGAAGATGAAGGCACTGGACTTCGGCTTCTGTTGCTTCTACTTTTGATAAGCGGCGGAGAACACGACTTCTCCTCCGAAGATGGAGAAGAATCCGTCGATGGAGGTAGTCTATTAGAGAGACTTCTAAGTTTCTTCTTCTCCCCTCCATCACATGCTTTGTCTTCAATCCGGTAATTACGTGCTAATCGTCGGCAATCGGAGGCAACGGTGACAGTGAGCGAGGACTGGATACTGATGCTGCTTCAATGAGACGACATTAGGGTTGTTCTTGAACAAAGATGACGGAGTTGGAGGCTGAGCAACTTGAATTTTCTGTTAATATATTTCAATGTATTTTAATGTATCTCGCTTTATTTCATTGTATTCATTGTCTTTTTTTTCATTGTATTTCAATGTATCTCGTTGTATTCTATGTATTTCATTGTCTTTTTTTCCCATTGTATTTCAATGTATCCCGTTGTATTCTATGTATTTCATTGATTCACTGTCTCGCTATATTCCATGAATGTATTCATATATTTTTTTTAATTAATATAATTTATGTATTCAGATGTATTGTATAATTTTTCTGAAGATTGCTATGTTTTTGGGGTATTTTTCGGTTGAGAATCTTTTTTATAACTGGAAATACAAAATTTGTGTGTTATAATTGAGTTTGTTGAGTTATATTAGGAGTCTATTATGTTAATTGATTCGCTTTCCGTTTAAAAAACAGTGTAATCCCTTGTTTCACGCCGTGAATACAGTCGAATACAAATAATCTGTCCAGCTGTAATCCCATGTTTCACGCCATGAATACAGTCGAATACACTCGAATACAAAAATCTGTCTAGTTGTAATCCCTTGTTTCACGCCTAGAAATGCTACTGTATTCATGAATACAGTAGCTTAAATACATCGAATACACTCTAAAAAATCTAAAAACATAGCTATAGGAAGTAATATAGTAAATGGTAGCTACAACTAGCTAATGACCACTAAAACATAGTGGTTTCTGAAAGTTTCTCTTTTCTGTATGAGGGACATGTGGATTGCAGTGTAAGAATTAGAGTTTACGACCAAGGATTGAAGTGAGATGAATAGAATCTCTATACTTAATTAGAGATCTTGAGTTTGAACCCCAAGAATAAAGAGAATCCTGGTAGAAAATGCTTTCCTCTTTCAATGAGCCTTACGCAACGCGAATGATAGGAAAACCAATTAAATAAAAAGGAGTTTAAACATCCTATAATTTTCCCTCATTTCACTTATTTTCTCTCCAACCTGAAGGAACAAATGGCAAATTTATATGCAACCACCATCAAGCCAATAGAGGGGGGTAAAAGAAACCAAGGCACACACTTGTCTTTGGGTAATGTTGTAAATCCACGTCTTACCTCTACATAAAACAGTATAATAGGAACATAGCAAAAACTTCTGAATTTTTTGAAAACAATGTGAAGATATCATCTTGTCAAGAGTTTATAGTTTGGGCCAAAAAAATAAAAACTTACACGTACCCAGTGCATACGACGGGTAAGTATATCCCTAGTACAGCATCTCCTACCTAAATTTTACTTCGAGCATTCAGGTTAATCGGAGCTTAGCTGACAAAAAGCGAGTACACTTTTACCTCTGATTACATTAACATATTAGACTATCTCTCAGTTATTTGAAGAAGGAAGGCGCTAAGATTGTATAAAAATAATATCAATAAGGATCAGAGTCTATTTTCCAATCTGGAGTTTCTCCGGGAATGGATTTCAGCAGCCCAGCTTTTTCCTATTTCTGTTTGAAATTTTCCTGCATGTCAATATATATACACAATGTCAAGAAATAACTCAATGACGGGGAAGAAAAAGAACTCATTTTTTTCCTAAGCTGAATTAAAGGGTCACTTACCTGCAGTTGAAAGGAAAAACTCGTCCAGCACCTTTCCGTGTTCTGTCATAAACGAAGGTCTATCAGTAAAGGAACAGAAAGGAGAACATGTAGAAGATTCTAGAAAATCACGCTGCATCAAATGTAATATGACAATCTGTTTTTAAAAGCTGTTATATAGGTAAAAAGCTGTTATAGCGAGTAAATATAACATGAAAAATCAGTTCCAAAAAAAAACTTGGCTTTGATAGTAAAATGTTGTTATATAGGGTGACGGTTATGGAGAGGTCTGATTGTACCAATAAATGACTCATCCAGGAACCTTTAAAATTTCAATACACTTACTGCAGAAAGAAATTAAATGTTTTTAGCTGCATTTCTGTTAGTACTTCAATGCTCAAGGGGTGACACAAGTGGTGACAGTGAGACTGATTGGTAAGCTGCAAAAATATTTAAAACCAAATGATGACTATCTATGGTCCTGATAGACAACAAACTGGAGAGGGAACAACTTCGCAAAATTAGTTTGACAACAAATTGGAGAAGAAAAACCTCCGTTAAATTAGTTTTACGCTATGTTACTCGGACTCTTCAAAAATGTTGTTGGGTATGTGTTGGATCCTCCAAATTTAATATCCGACACGGGTGCGGCAGCACTTTTAGAGAGTCCGAGCAACATAGGTTTTACGGCCCCTTGTCATTTGATACACGGATCAACTTTTCACTTCGATTTTCTATCGACAGTCTTAAATGAATCAACAAGGAATTGCTATAGTAAAGCGGACATTTAACTGCCAACTACATGCAGCCCAAACAACTTGAATGGTTAAATCACTTTAGAGGGTCTTAGGCATCTAACTCTCAAGAGAGAAAAGGATGTATCAATGACATCTAAATACAGGAACAAAGCCTTAACTATACAAGGTATGCCAAAAGCATAAGACCATATGAAAATCAGTGAGAAGCACAAAGAAGAAAAAGAATTTCAGCAAAAATGATAGGTTCTTATACTTTAACTTAATTCATTGGAGAAGAGTTATTTACCTGATTCATATTCCAATGCCTGCAGAATCATTTCAACCTGGAGAAGATCGGGAAAATGGTGAAACCATCAGATGCTATAAGATTCAATGATCTACTAGAATGATAAGAACCAACTTGCCGAAGGATGAGATATGCAACATGAAAGAGGAAAACTTAGCATGCATATGTATATCCAGAATTAAAAAAAAGGCATGAATATGTATTTTAAGTAAAGTTCTGCCAAGTGTCGCGCTAGTTCACTGCATCAGGTTAGTTCACTTCTCAGGAAGAGGACTACTCAAGCAGGCAGGCCTCCTATCTGATAAATACATTCTTATCCAGTTTCCAGTCAGCAAGACATATTAAGTTACATGAGCATATCGCAATTGCTCCAACTGTTCCCATGGAGGATATACACTAACTTTAAAGGAGGCGTAGTTGAAAGAACCAGTAATTGATAAAGAGTACTAAGTTTATATTTTAAATTGAATTGCATACTACTGACTTTGGAAAGCCAAACTTTGAACAGAATTAAATTATTATGTTCGAGATGTGAAACTTTTTCCTGTATGAAAATTTCACTTAGATAAAAGATGAAGCTAGTATTCATACCTTGTCAAAATCTTTTACAAGATTGGCCTCCAATGAAGCATTATTTTCATACTCTTGCCACAGTTCTTTAATCTCTTCAGCTGGAATATTATAAAGCATAACATTAGAAAATGCAATATATAGTTTTTTTTTTTTTTTTTGAAAAAATGAGTACGATGTGAAATATAAATAAACCTTGTTGATATGTAAAAACCATAAGGGAATACCTCTCATCCCTCCGCCAAGAATTTTGCACATTTCATTCAAGGCAGCTTGCTCACGTCTGCTTTTCTCAGCCTTAGGCACACCATCAGATGGAGTTATATCTCCAACAATTGCTACAACATTTTAAAATTCTCATCAAATGCAAAAATAAAAAACATGGTGAAAATCCTCTTCCTCTGCCCCCATACAACCAAAAGAAAAAGAAGACAAAGCTAGCAATAGAAAACACCAGAGAAAAATTTAGAAGGTGGTAAACCTAATTCTTACAACAAAGAATACAATCCCTATTAAAAGTTTGCTAATACGTGTACATGGTCTACCGACTGCTATATAAGCTCAAAATCATTCGGAGCTTGATGCTTCTTCGATTAGCGGAATAATGAGGAGCACTGACTTTATTAGATGGGAGGTTCAAGATCAACCAATAAACACACTAAACACTAGCACCATAATTTGCATGCTTGGATTTATCATTTCATATTTTCTTTTTATTGCTTCTGAAATGAATACTATATTCATCATCTTGATACTGGATAAATCATATAAAAATGTAGTCACTGCAAATAATTTAGCCTACAAGTCGGAAACAGAAAAGCTCTCTTAGAAAGATACTTTTGTGTTTTGGGGACGTACCTTCAGCAATGTCATGAACAATGGCCATCTTAATGCACCTGTTACATAAATTAAGTAGCAATTACCTTGGATGAAGCAAAAAGATGAACATAAGCATCAAGAAAGTAACACGCTAGAACGAGGATAGAGATCATGTTTGCATGGACAAACTTCAGGTTTCTCTGTAAGAACTACACACCACATTTGAGCAGTCAACACGAACAGCAGCCTAGGTTCTACCAAGGCAATTCTATGTTGGTAGATACGGCAGATTACAATCATTCAGATCTCATATAACTTCACCATGATCCCTTAGTAAACAAAACTTCGAAAATTTTCGTTAGACCACTTAATGGTATTATCAGCCGAA